AATAATTGTTATCATGACTAATTGCAACTGTCACAATTGTAAAGGTAGAAGTTTTGTTAACAAAAACAAGGGAGTGGTTAATCTTACAGTCAAGAGAGACCCTAGGACCAATAAGAGAGAAGTGCACAAGCAGAATGCGGGACCTTATCCAGAGAAGCAGCAGTGCCAGAGATGGAGGCAGAGATGCGGTGATGGAGACAGGGAGTGGCTGAGGACTCTAGATTCATGGACTAAGAAGAGAGGGACTAAGAGCTGGTGGCCAGGAGGCAGACTTGCAGAAGATGCCCTTTGGAGACATAAATTATTATATATGCCTGAGAGGTTTTTTTGTTTGTTTGTTTTTAAAAAGCTAAAGTGGATAGAGAGAAATACTGTTAACTGATGGTACATGGAGGGGATTATAATCAATGTAATGAAACAAAGTATATGATTTGTTCAGTGTAAAACTGATGATATGCCCTGTAAACTTTCACTCAATCCACTATAAAAACTTTAAATTAAAAAAATATATGAGTATAGCTTTGAGGTGCCGTTGAGGTGGACTACGACTACTACACATTTGATGTATTTTTGTTTTTAAGTATCGTTGAATCGTTTCCGATCTATAGGGACTAGGTAATAAGGCTTCAAGGAGAGGCAGGCCTGGGGAAGATTTTGGCTTCAAAAGACAAGGACGTGGGGACACCTGAGCCTATGGACAGGGACACAGTCACAGAGGGATATAGCTGAGAGTGAAGCATCCAGCTGATATGAAGTGAAGGGAGAGGCACAAGAACATCCAAACTTGCATACAGTACCCATTTGACCTAGCCTAGATAGCTTAATAATCAGAACTGGACTAGAGGAGATTTAAAAAAAAAACAAAAAAACAAGAACTAAACAATTTTTGAAAAAAGAAACAAGGGTAAATTGGTACAATTTGATGAACTTGACCTATATTCATGGAGGCAGTAACTCTAAATACCAACAGAGAGGGAAGGAGTCTTCACATCAAGTGTCAATGTTATACCCTCTGTACCAAGGTAGATAAGGATGGGTGACTTAGACATTGGCTACCTAAAATGAGGGGGTGATAAAGGCATGAAGGACTGGCTTACAAGGTTTTAAGATAGGACAAGATTCTTATTATTCAATAGCAATTGTTATCATGACTAACTGTGACTGTCACAATTGTAAAGGCAGAAGTTTTATAACATAAACAGTCCAGAAACAAAGGACCCTAGGACCATCAAGGGAGAAGAGCATAAGTGGAATACCTTATCCAGAGAAGCAGTGACACCAGAGATAGAGGCAGAGATGGGGACATGGAGAAAGAGAGCAGCTGAGGACTCTAGATTCATGGGAAGAGAGAGACTAAGAGATGGTGGCCAGGAGGCAGACTTGCAGAATGTGCCCTTTGGGTGGTGTAAATTATTATATATGCCTGAGTGTTTAAAAAAAAAAAAAAATGCTAAAGTGAGTAGAGAGAAATACTGTTAACTGACGGTACATACAACGGATTATAATCATTGTAATGAAACAAGGTATAGGATTTGTTGAATGTAAAACTGATGATCTGCCCTGTAAACTTTCACTCAATCCACAAAAAAAAAAAAAAAAAAAAGACAAGGACGATATGGAGACCGGAAAAAATGGATTCAAACAGAAAAGGCCAAAGGTTTGTCTTTTAAGGCTATTAACTGCAATCAAGAGAAGAGGAAGCCCAAAATACCAAAAGCAGTTACATTTGAGGATGTCACCGTGTTTTTCACAGAAGCAGAACAGAAAAGACTGAGCTCTGAACAGCAGGATAACCTGTACAAAGAAGTGATGCTTGAGATATACTGGAGTCTTCTCTCATTGGGTCCCTATGAGTCAGAACTGGCTCAACGGCACATCACCAGCACCACCACATACTAAGAGAAGTTGATGTGAAGGAAATGATTGAGACCAGGAGCCCTAAGTCTCCAGTGGAGAAGAGAGCAAGATTTTCCTGTGTGTCCACTGCATTGGGAGCAGGCCTCACCCACAAGGAAACATCCTTTCAATTGGTTGGCTGTTTATATAGCCAGTCACAGAGTTAAGTTTACTTGTATTATGTTTCACCATGGATAGAACCACTTCAAGTGCCAAACCACTGAGAATCCTGAGGAAGGAATCCTGAGTGAGGACTCCTCTGTCTCAGTTGGTATTTTGAGCTGCTACATCCATAGGTGTGGGTCACATTCATCAAACTGTAGCAATTTATACGTGTTTCCTTTATCAAAAAAAAAAAACACCAAACAGAACATAAAGACTAGAAAGATAATCATTTCCCTTGACTTTTCCTTCTGGCAAAATAAATAGGTGTGACTGTTAAGAAGGGAATACATGGCTGTCACTTCTGGCTCTGTAGAGGTATCAGAGCTGCACAGGCTTCTGACAGGCAGATATCAGCAGAAGAAGGAAGACAGTCGGGGCGAGAGCAAGCTCACCTTGTTGATCGGACTCTGCATTCCGTGAGACCAGGGCACTGATTGCTGGAAACGTGATGCTGGACATGGCAGCCACGGTCCCTGCTGCCCACATCATCCTGCAATGATAGGACAGGCAGCAGTCAAGATGGGCAGGCAAGCCCAGGCAGCTCAATGTTTAGAGGACAATCAGTGGCAAAAGTACAAATGTTTTCTGTTTCCTGTGTTAGTTTTCTTTACTAAAATGGAAGGTTATACAATATATGAATTAATTACATTAATTACAGTATTAACTGCATTAATATTGATTACTTCAGGGGTTAGTTACTTTCTTTTCTCTGGTTTCCCTATTATAAACTTTAGATATAAGCAACATGAAATTTATAAGTTCATCTTTTGCTTATATATTGTTGTTGTGAAGTGGTGTGGAGTTGGTCCCAACTGATAGCGACCCTGTATAGGGTTTCCAAGGAGTCCCTGGTGGATCTGAACCACTGACCTTGTGGCTAGCACTCTAGTGCTTATCCTATAGAACACACCAGAACACTGCATTCTCCCTACTGATTTCAAACAAAAAAAAACTTTGTGTTTTTCAAAGGCTCATCTTCCATTGGCTCTCAAGCTGCTCAATTTTCTATGCTTGCACAAAGCAAAAATATATTGTGCCATCAACAGAAAAACCAGCGATCCGAAGTTCTTTTTCAATGTAAGGTTCTTAGGTGTTAGTGGTGGTGGTGGTTACGTGCTATGGAGTTGGTTCCAACTCATAGTGACCCTGTACAGGGTTTCCGAGGCTGTAAATCTTTAGTATTAGGTGTAATATGAGATGTAGTGTGAACCCTCATTGGCCTTGTGTCCTGGTTGTCCAGACTTCCTTAAGGGTGACTGACATACATTCTTGCTTTCCATTGTCTCTAAATTATGCCATCCATTCAAATACATAAAGCAAGGGCCAATTCCAACGCTAAAATGAAGACATGCAATCTAGGGCATATAAGGAAAGCTACCACATAATAAAAGAACACCACAGATGTTTTTTATTTCTCCTTATTCGAGAGAGAGAAATTTATCCTTTGTTCTTGTTTATGAATAATTGGCTCAGACTCCTGGTATGGTGCTACAGGATCAAAAATGAACTATGAATCACAAGGTGAGGAGTTCAAACCCTCAAGCTGCTCCTCAGAAACCCTATACAGGGTTGCTAGGAGTCAGAGTTGACTCGATGACACTTTACAACAACAACAACAACAAATATAACTGTCTCAGAACATACATGATTTTGGAAGATATCTTAGTGTTTAACTCAAATGCTTTATTTTATAAAGGTTATGTTACCCAGGTCATTTAGCAGATTATGGTAGTGCAGCCTGCCATATCAGTTATTTTTCCTCATCTTATGTTTGCTCTGACTACATGCAATGCTTCTGAAAATAGACAAATACGTTTAAATATTACTGAGGACTTTGGGTGAAGACTGTGGGCACATATTAAATTAAGTAATTACTTATGAAAGCCCAGTAAGACGAAAAGACTCTTTACAAGTAACCCAGTACCACACTGCTCCATAATAAAGTCTACATGGTTTCAGAAATGTTGCCTACACCTAATGAGTACAATTCTATAACATTCCTAGAATTATAAAGCAACAACCATAATAAAACCCTCATTTGTCTCTCTCATTGCATTCAACCAGGCTGAGTTTCTTTAAAAAATGCATTTGTCTGTTATTCATGAGAATCTACAGAAGAGGCTTACCAGGCCTGAGATCCAAAACCATACCACGCTAACTGGAACATCTGGAAGCCCAAACCAAGGAGGACAGTGTTCTTATTTCCTAATGATCTCATCAAGATGCTAAGAAAGACTGTCTGCAAAACAAAGGAAAGAATCTTGAAAAACTATGTAAACATAAAATTTGAAGGCAGGCTCTGTGAGGTAGATCCGTTCACCAATAACTAGGACCTGCGAAGGCCCACTTTGTGGTCTGATTCAGTTCTACAGGGGTGGAGCTTTGAGGACTCTCAGATGGTCCTAGGGCTAAGAGCCTTTAGCCTCTTCCCATCTGCTCAGCACTCTTCTGGCACTACTAAAAAGGTTACCAGACCCTTTATCTCCTACCAACAGTTGTGCACCAGTTATCAGGATTGGGAAGGAGATGTTTCTGTTTCTTCAGAGAAATACATATCATTCAACCACCAGTGAATACTAAAACCCTGTTAAAACATTTACAATATATTTGGGATTTTTCTAATTGGTAATAATTTTTAAAAGTAGAGATGTGATCTTAACAACTACTTGAGATTTTGTTGTTGTTGTTAAGTACCATGGAGTCGACTCTGACTCATAGTGACTCTGTACAGGGTTTTCGAGGAGCAGACAGCCTCATCTTTCTCCCGTGCAACGGCTGGTAGTTTCAAACTGCTGACCTTGACGTTAGCAGCAGCCCAACTCGTAACCACTATGCTACCAGAGTTCTTTAAAATCTTTATGGCAGCAGAAAGCCCTTTCTTTCACAGAGCAGCTGGTAGATTTGAACTGCTCACGTTGTGGTTAGCAGCTCAGCTCATAATCCACTACACTACCAGGGCTAAAAGATGACTCTGGACTGACTAAACTGACTAGAGTTAATATAGAAAAACAAACCAAAATCATGACAACTTGAAGGTTTAAAATAACTTGTATTTGCCAATTACAGTTCAAATAAAAAGTCTCTGCCAAGACACATTCCCATAAGCCTTGTCAGTTTCAACAGGGTCCAGCCTTCTCATGTTCTTGTACAGACTCTGTTCAGTTCATCAAGCTGCTTTAGGGACACAGCTTTTGATTATCCCACAGGACGGAGTGAATGCACTTAAGCACTGCAATGGATTAATTTAAATGCCATATGCCTTTCTTTTGTGGTCCTAGATTCAAAACAGATGGGAAAATACTTATTGCTCTTTACTCATCATGTACATCCTAATCCACCGATTAATCACATTTCTTTAATCCTGGGGACAGTACACAGGAGAAAGATAAGGCTTTCTGCTCCTGTAAAGTTCCACAGCTTCAGAAACCCTATACAGGGAAGCTATGAGTGAGAACCTACTTGATGGTATACAACAGCAGCAGTAAAGGACAGCAGAGGTTGGCAGAGTTATGCATTTCCATCTCTGCTTTTTCTTCTACTTACTTTTCAATATTAAAACAATAATAAAGTATTCTCCTAGTTACACTTAATTTTGCCATATCAGGATTCAGATTGCAATTATTCACATTTTCGACTGAATTAGTCAAAAGGAATTATAAGTACTCTAAAAAGCAATAAAAAAGATATGTTACATTTCTACTAAATAACAGCCTAGGCTTATACTACAAATGGAATGCTTCTGTGGACAATGAGATGCTGGTATGAATTGTGTCAATGTGAGATTTATACTACAGTGGTGCATGATGTTACCATGGGGTTTGGGGGCAGCACCTGGGTGAAGGGTACATGGGATGTCCCTGTACATTTCGTTGAGGCTACCTATGAAACTACACATCTATTTCAGGATACAAATTCAAAAACTCAAAAAATAAAGGGCATGCTTAAAATATTACTCACCTGAGCAACAATGGACAGAATTCCTACCATAGCAATGAATGCTGCAATTTTCACGGACCCAAAACCTATGACCTGTAGGATGGAAGGAAAGCACATTAGTAATAGAGACAAAATAAAAACAGTTAATACTATTTTTCACTAAAATAAGAAATAGAAAAGTGGAAAGGCTTTTCTTATCTGTCAAAGGTGGAAAACCTATAAAGGAAGGTATTTCGTCATGTTCCTGGTCTCAAAGGTTTCACCATACAGGAAAGTGTTGTAAGTGAACACAAGCTAAGCACAGAAATAACTTTTATTTTCTAAAAAAACATTTTCCTATTGTATCAAAGTCTTTCTTCATCCCTAGCCCACAAACAGACATGTATAATACACATCAAGCATTGGTGAGAACATGAAGAAAGTAATTTGACTCTTGATACAGTCAATGCAAAAATTTTCTTATTAGCGAACTTAATGACTCTCAACTCCTGCTGCATGTTAAGACCATGTGGGGCATAGAAAAAGGCGAGTGTAGGGGGGGAGGAGGGGGAATGCACGCAGGGAGGCAGGGAGGCATCCACTCTAGACAAATTAAATCACAATGGATATCTGGGGTTATGGACCAGGCAAAGATATGTTTTGAAAACCTCCTCTAATAAATTTAATGAGCAATCAAAGTTCACTGGCAGTATTCCTAAATTCTTTAACCTTCTCAGCAGCTAAGAAATGTCCATAAGCTCTAAGTTTATTAAATAAAGTGACAATTTCTTATTTTAAAAGTTTAAATTCATTTAAAAAAATAAGTATCTTGCTTCAAGTCACATAATGAACTAATAATTGAGTTAGGACTCTATCTGACTCCAATTCAATGATACCAGCACTGGACTGTGAACAAGGTCAACAGTTCAAGCCCACCACCTGCCCATGGGAGAAAGATGAGGCTTTCTGCTCCCACAGAGATTTATAGCCTAAAAAATCCTATACAGGCTCACCATGAGTTGGAACAGACCCAACATCACTCAACAACAAAAACATTATTAAGATTCTATTACCCTCTAACCAAATATAATCTTTTTAAAAAATGGAACTTAAAAATATACACTGCTTTATTCAAGGACTAATTATTTCTCAGGTATATTTGTAAATAATAAGTTTTATTTAGATATAAACACCATTAATTCACCCACTGTAATATTTACTACCCCAAAACCACCAAACCCACTGCCAATCGAATTGATCGATTCAAAGAAATTAAGAACATCAACCAGAAGAAAGCAAAAAGGCATTACAAAACAGAAAAAGAGAAAGACAAAAAATGGAGGACTGAAGAAACTCTAAAACTTGCTCTCCAACATAGAAATGCTAAAGTGAATGTAAGAAATGATGAGAGATAAACAGAAAATTTCAGAGAGCACCTTGAGAAGACAAAGTCAAGTATTACCAAAAAATTCTTCAAGAAAAAATTCAAGTCACAGGTTACAATATTGAAAGATTCTATGGGTAAAATGGAGTGCTGTTATGGCACAGTAGAATAAGCACTGTACAAGATCAGTGGCTCAAACCCACCAGTCACTGCTTGAAAACCTTATATAGGGTCACTGTGAGTCAGAATCAACTCCACAGCACTTTAGAATAACAACAACATGCCAAAATTTTTAATGACTCAGAAAACATTAAAGAAGATGAAAGGAATACAATCACTGAATTAAAAAGAAATGGTTGATGTTCAGCCATTTCAAGAGGTAGTATATAATCAAAAACTGATGAGCCTAAAGGAAGATGTCCAAGCTGTACTGATGGCATTGGTGAAAAACAAGGGTCCCAAGAAATGTGGAAAACAGCTACCTGGTCAACCAATGGCAAAAGATCCATATTTGTGCACAATTCAAAGAGAGGTGACTGAATGGGTTATGAAAATCACTAAACAGTATCATTAATATCACATACAAATAAGATTTTGCTAAAGATAATTAAAAAATAAGTTTGACAGAATTGTCAGAAAGTCAAGCCAGATTCATAAGAGGACATGGAACTAGCAATATCACTGCAGATGTATCTTGCTATTTACTGACTATGCAAAGGTTTTCAACTGCGTGGATCATGACAAGCTATGAATAACATTGCAAAAAATGGGTATTCCAGAACACTTAATTGTGCTCATGAGGAACCTATAAATAGACTAAGAGGCAGGCATTCGAACAAAACAAGGGGGCATTGAATAGTTCGAAAGCAGGAAAGGTATGTACCAGGGTTTTATTCTTTTACCATACTTAATTTGTACACTGAGCAAATAATCCAAGATGGATTTTATGAAAAACATGTCATCAGGATTGGAAAAAGACTCATTAACAACCTGTAATATACAGATGATACAACCTTGTCTGCTGGAAGCAAATACGATTTAAAATACTTAATGATGAAGATCAAACACTACACATCCTTCAGTATGAATTGCACCTCAATGTACATAAACAAAAATTCTCAAACTGGACCAAAAAATAACATCCTTAGAGACCAGGATGGTGAAACTTTTTGTCTCTCACATTTCAGACACTGTATCAGGAGAGACCAGTCCTGAAGAAGGACATCATGCTTGGTAAAGTGGAGAATCAGTGAAAACAGAAGACCTCCAAGGAAATGAACTGACATAGTAGTAGCAGCAATGGCCTCAAGCATGGCAAGAACTGTGAGGATGGCAGTGTTTCATTCTGTTGTACACAGGGTCATGATGAGTCCAAACCAACTTGACAGCATCTAACAATATCAACTCAGGAAATTGGAGTACCCCATTGTGGGGGAGTACATCTCCTCCTAGTTTAATCAGTAAAAGACGACCATGCAGTATTGCAATGCAAAGTCTTTGGTGGGTTTAAGGTTATAGTATCATCAATAATACATTATTAATTATATATATATATATATATATATATGTAATTAATAGTCAAGCTAGTTTAAAGACCATGAAGTATTACAATGCAAAGCCTTGGTGTGTGTAATGTATACACACACACACACACACACACAAAATTAATAGTCAAACTAGTTTAAAGACCATGCAGTATTGCAATGGAAAGCTCTCCAAACAATTCCAGAGACTTGAACAAGTTAGGAAAGATAACTTTTGTTATTTAATTGCCTTAAGTCAAGTGCCTATTTTGTTTCCCAAAACGATGTAAAACTTTTTAAAATGAGAACAAAGAGTGGGAAATGATATTTTGATTACTGTCTGCTAGCCACCTTAACGTCTAAAACAGCAACTGAGCTAGCACTTGAATAGTGTTGCTTGCTGAAGATGTCCCTTTCAACTCAGAAAGCTAATTGTGACCAGAACCAGATCAAGGGCATCCCTGAGGCAAACCTAGCTCTCTGTGACATTCAACAGATAACTGACGATATGTGAACACATGCACTTGTAACTAGAAGTTTACACGGGTTTTCTCTCTACATTCTTTTTCTCAAAGTATCTTTAGACAGATTCCAATCTTGAATCTTAGTCAAGTTCAAAGACTACTAAGTAACTATTACCTACCTGCCTGAGATAAAGAAAAAAACTTGAATATTGTCCCGCTTCAGGAAGGTATGAAAGAAACACGGTGATGCAGATTAGTAAAACGGTAGAATCTTTTCCAACTTTCTTCAATGACTGCAAAAGAAAGAAAGATAAGTACATAAAACCAGCAAACAAATACTAATGCTGCTGACATTCTGAGGTATTGGTATCATGGTTTTGATCAAAAAAGGCAGTTAAAAAAAAAATTCTATTTTACCTTTTAATTCCATTTCCACGAATTTTTTGAAAACTCCTTGTGTAATAAGGTTAAAAAAAAAATGTTTTTAAGATAAAACAAAACAAGAAGAGAGGAAAGAAAATATTATTTTGATTACTGTCTGCTAGCCACCTTGAGGCTGCCTATTGAAAATGTCCCTTGCAGCTCAGAATGCTATGAACAGAACCAGATCAGATTCCCTTGGAATGTTTTAAGAAAATCTCTTTATATTCTAATTTGTAATAAAACTTCCTTTTTTATACTTTTTAGTATGAAATGAGTGAAGGTCTACACAGCATATCATTTTTATATCAGCAAACCATGCTAGCTATTTCATCTCAATGACTACAATTTTTTCAATGCTACATCACTTACCTCACTTTCTCCTTGTGTTTCTTGTTTACCTTTTTACTTCTTTCCTAACCCTCTGAACCCTGTCCCTGGAAAAATGCTGCCCGTATGATCTCGAATGGTTGACCATTCTATGTATCCCTCACTAGTGGTGTTCTCTCTATCTATTACTTGGCTGAAAATTGAGCCTTGGTTGAATTTAGTTCTAGACCTGACGAGTTCCACCAATCTTGATAAAATCTCTCAAATTCTGTTTATCCTGGAATGTTTTGATCGCACCATGATATCTGATTGATAGTTTTGCTGGATAGACGATTCTTGGTTGACAGTTGTTTTCTTGCAGGGCTTTGTATATGTCTTCCCATTGCCTTCTCGCCTGCATGGTTTGTTCTGAATAGTCAGAGCTTAATCTTATTTGCTTGCCTTTATATGTTATATTTCTCTTCTCCCTGGCCACTTTCAATATTCTTTCCTTGTCTTTCATTTTGGAGAGCTTGATTATTATATGTCTTGGAGACTTTCTTTTGAGGTCTATCCTTCCTGGGGTACACTGGGCTTCTTGAATGTTTATCTTCTCATCTTTCAAGATGTTAGGGAAATTTTCTTCCAGAAGCTCTTCAACTATCTCTTCTGTGGACTTCTCTGCTTCTTCTTGTTCCGGAATGCCAATAATTCTTACATTAGTCCTCTTCATGTTATCCAGCATGAATCTTAGACTCTCTCCAGACTATTTTATCCTTTTAGCTGCTTGCTCTTCTACCTTGGCAGTATTGAGAGATTTGTCTTCCAGTTCATTAGTTCTGGCTTCCATCTCTTCTAGTTTGCTCCTTTCCCCTTTCAGCCTATTGTCTATTTCTGATATCTTACTATTGATCACCTGGACATCTTTTTGCAGGTTTTGAATAGTTTCCAATGGCTGTGTCAATCCTATTCGATTGTTCCTGCAGTGCTTTCCTTACTTCTTCCTTATTTTCCTCAACCCCTTTTCGGATTATTTGAATTTGTTTCCATATTATTCTTCTGTATTCCCTCTTAGGCATATCCAAAACCCGCTCCTCCTCCTCTATAAAGCCTTTCTCTGTCTCCAGCTCATTTGCGTCAGCTGCTCACTTCTGTTTTTGGATGTGTTTCGATAAAGTTGATTGTTCCTTATTGGTCATGGTTATCGTTTTATTATCATTATTATTAATATGGTCGGGAGATGGGCTTCCCTTTTCATCTGTAATGTGTAGCAAATGTTGTTGGGTCTTGTCTTAGCGGTGAAGTAATATGTTGTATGCTTATAGCTTGGCTATATGGTCACGATTGCTGCTGCTTCTTATGCGACGTAGGGAGGATAAATTCCCACCTCCAGGAAGGATGCGTGATCAAAAGGACTAAAAGCAGAAGTAATATAAACGCATAGACAGAAATCACCACTTTGGAGAGGGGATGTGGCTTTGGTTAACTTTTTCTGTTGCCTGTCCCGCCAGAACAGCCACAGGAAGATCCCCGCTGCTAGCTAGGAGTGGGGGCTGAGGGCTTAGATGCAGGGACAGGGGGTGGGGGATGACATCAAAAAGCCGCCGCCTTTCTCCCTCTTTCTGTGCATGGGTGAGCTTCCTCTGTCTGACTTTTATTAGATCTCAAGCCAGGGCAGGGAGATTTTGGGGGGGAGCTTTTTTTTGTCCAGAAACCCCTTTTTTTCCTTCTGCTGGAAACACCGCTTTCTGAACTTTCCAAATGGGCTGGCCTTAGCCTCGCCCTCTAAACTCTCAGTTGCAGGAGCAACCTGCGGTCCCGCAGGCGAGAGTCCCAAAATGCGCGCCTTTCTTTTTCCTTAGCAGTGTGATTTCTCAAAAATGCGAGTTCAGGAGACTGAAATACTAGATCTTATGATAGTTTAAAAGCCGTGGGTCTGGTATATGAACGTTTCCTTCATGAGATCCCCCTCCTTTCTCACCAGTGCTTTCCCCTACCTGACTTTTCTGGCTGTGAGCAGAACCGGAAGCCCTCCACCAGTCTTATCAGACCAGAAAATCTGGTCCTTTTTATGACTGAGTTTCATTCCACATTTTCTTACACTCCATCCAGGACCTTCTAATGTGGTCCCTTTTAGAGCAGTTGGTAATGGTAACCAGGCATCATCTAATTTACCTGGTCTCAGGGTCATGGAGACTGATACTCATGGGGTTCATTGGTCCACTGGACTAATTGTGTCCAAATGTCTTCAATTTTCATCACTCTTCTTTCTTCTGGACAGCGAGAGACCAATGCTCGCATCTTAGATGGCCACTGATGAGTTTTTTAAGACCTCAGTGGCTACTTGCCAAAGTCGGATGTAAGTGATTACTTTAGAAGACTATGTATGCTATGCCAACCGAGCATGGTGCCTCCTGAAACAATGGTCCTGAGCCCCCAAGGTCCAGTGACTCATTTCCTCAGGGTGTTTAGTAATGGCTAAGTTTTCATAATGTTGTCCCTGTAAACTCCACCACATTTGTGGAGTCTAAATAAATAACTTTAAATAAATAACTTATTTAAAGCCATAATCAACACATAGCTTTTATTACATACAAATTCACTGTATTCTTTAAAAGATTACTGCTCCATTATTTTGGAGTCCTGGTGTGGCACTATAGGTTAATGTACCAGACTGGAAAGCTGTTTCAACTGCAAGGTCGGCAGTTCAAGCTCACCAGCTGCTCCTTGGAAACCCATAGAGGGTCGCTATGGGTCAGAACTGACTCGACGGCACTTAACAACAAACAACAACTCCCATTATTTTTCGCCTGTAAAACTGGTAAACAATAAGTATGCTCTACTCATGGGGTCAGTAAAACCAAGAGTTAAGCCTTTGTCCAATAACAACTTTTTAAATATTAAAAGTTGTCTAAAAATCCTTATATTCTTTCCACACAGAATTGCTGAATATCTAAGGACGAAGGAACTCTGGTAGTGTAGTAGTTACGTATTGGGCTGCGGGCCTCAGGGTCAGCTGTTTGAAACTACCAGCTATTCTGCGGAAGAAAGATGAGGCTTTCTGTTCCCGTAAAGATTTGCAGCCTTGGAAACCTCAGGGTCGCTATGGGTCGGAACCGACTCCACGGCACTTCACAACAACAACAACAACAACGAGTGCTGCAAGGAGTCTTGGTGATGTTAAAGGATAAGCAATGGTCTGTAAAACTGCAAGGTAGGCAGTTCAAATTCACCAGATGAGGCTTTTTGCCAGTAAAAATGTACAGCCTAGAAAATTGCTAGAGTCACTACAAGTCAGAATCAACTTGATGGCAGCATGTTTGTTTGGGTTTTTCAAGTGAGTGCTATGGTGTCTTTAAGGTTATAACAACGGTCTCTTTATACTATGAATAGCCAGACTATCTAATATCTATTGACACCTTATCACATACTGGATTCTAGACAACACAATTTATACACAATGTTCACTGAAATCTTTATAACAGCCCTGAAAAGTAAGCCACATTTCTGTTTTACAGTGGGGCTTCTGCCAACACGTCTTCCAACTGTCTGACATGGTGCCATCACTAGAGCAGGCAATGGCACCATGGATCCCCACCCCTACCCTCCCTCCCTGCTACTGCCATGCCCTGAGAGGGCTTTTACAAAAGGATTTTCTGATGATATGAGTTGGCTGGTGGGGATAGGCAGTAATACTAAGTACTTTTCCTAGCTGTTAGTTGACATCTCCCCCTCCCCCCTAAAAACATACAAAGAAAATTTTTGTAAAAAAATAATCTATTCTGCAAAATACAAGTTCAAAACACCTGGTTAAAATGGATGTCTACTAAAAGGTTAAAGTACTTTTTAGTCAGACCAAAAAGGATTTCTTTTAAATCACTTTTGATTTAAAGGAAATAAAAATGAACATTTCAAATGCCTTTATTTATTTTGTTAACAATGAATGAAAAAGCCATGCAAAACAAAGACTTCTTTTCCAAACCCTCAATAAGAAATAGCTGGACATTGTTTCTCCCTTAAGTCACAAGCTAGACTAAAAAAGTACCAATTCTATTTATTTCTTAGTGCCCAGACTCCCTCAACTGGTGCCCAGTTCCTTTATTTGCAACAGAACTTTTTCAAATTATTTCTACTGGGAAAAAAAAAGAATCCTTGAGATTATAGAACTGTTCTTTAATTTGCATGGCTTAGGAAAATAATTAGGAACGTATGGCTTTTATTTACCGCAAAAGGGTCTGCTTGTTTCCATGAAATCTGACTTCCCCAGGAAACTGGTCTCATTTTCTCTGGCAGAGACTCTGGAACAGCCAGTATGATGAAGCAGATGTCCAAAAGAGCTACCACTGTGGCCACCAGCACGACAAGACTGTCTCCATAGCTGGCAGACAGGTATGCTCCAATGGCTGGGCTACTGACCAGGCTGGCGGCAAAGGTGGCAGAGACCTGCAGGGAAAGCACACTCTCATTCAGGCTCTCAGTGGCACAAAACTGTGGCCTTCCTCCCCACACTTTAAAAAAGGCAAAACGAAATTTATAACACACAACTTTTTTAAATGAAAAAGAATTTAAGTAATTTTGTTTAAAGAATTTAGAATTTAACTGGAAATAGTCTGGAAAACTACAAGAGTAAAAATTATTATTAGAAAGAAAACATGTGGAACCCCCCCCCCCCCATAAGTATAACATACAATCATCGGTCTTAAATTGGAGCAATGGAGAGTAGGTGCATGGGGAGGAAGGATACAAAAAGTAAGAAAAGAGTCCTGAGGGTCAATGATGTTGTTGTTAAGTGCCGCTGAACTGGTTCTGACTCATAGTGATCCTATAGAGGGTTTCTGAGGAGCGGCTGGTAGGTTTGAACAAATGACACTGCAGTTAGGGACTTATTCTTAAGTGCCACACCAGGATAAAATGGTAAAATCCAAAAATTACTCAGGAACTATAACTACTACTGGAGTCTTGGTGTGGCACTATAGGATAAGCAATCAACAGTGAACCACCAGGTTGCTCCTTGGAAACCCTATATAGGGTTGCTATGAACTGGAACCGACTCAACAGCTCTTAACAACAAATGCATAATATTTAATTTCATCTACCTAAAGCATTATATTGTTCTACCATTTTATTAGCAGTGAGGGGTTAAAAAAAATCATATTCTTTAAAAGAAGAAAAACAAAACAAAACCTACAGTCAAAAAAGAAAACCGTATGTTGAAAAAAAAGCTGAAGCTTTCTCACTAAACAAGTCCCAGGGCTGCAAATTTCTGTCATCCCATCACCCCTAATCTCCACTCACTCCCACAGAGCACACAGCCAATGCTCTATGCCCGCAACCTTCAGTCATATTGAGTCTATTCACTTTATGTTCTTTTAATCATGTAGAATGCCCACTGTATTTTAGAATACAAATATTCAAAGGCATAGGCTGGTAATCTTCAACATACAAGTAGATTGAGCAACAAAAGCATACTTTTAGGTTGATTATGTAAACTTCCAATGTAACTATAAAAATCATTGTTGTTAGGTGCCATTGCATTCCAACTCAGAGTAACCCTATATAGCAGGGATGGGGAATATCTGGCCCGTGAAATCATTTGGAAATCACTGTTCCAGCCATCACACTGTTGTTGTTGTTAAGTGCTATTGAGTCAGTTCCACTCCATAGTGACCTGAATAGGGTTTCCGAGGAATGGCTGGTGAGCTTGCACCACCAGCCTTGTGGTTCAAACTGACTCTGTGGTCCAGCACATCAACCCACAGCGCCACACCAGGACGCCAGTCTTCACATTGCAGGTGAGTTAATTAAATGTTTGATCAAATATAACAGGCTAATTTTGAAGTTCAAATGATGTTATAAATTTTGGTTTCCCCATCCCTGCTATACAGGGTTTCCAGGGTTGTAAATCTTTATGGGAACAGAAAGCTTCATCTTTCTACTGCAGAGTGGTTCATGGATTTGAACTGTCAACCTTGTGGTTAGTAGTCCAGTACTTATCCTATGGCGTCACCAGCACTCCTATAAAAATCATTAGGATTACAATGATAATTATTGGTAAACCAATGACATTCTTCCTTCATCCATCACCACCTGAACAAATACTAAAAATAAATGTATCTGACATGAGTTTTTGTTGTTAGTTGCCATCAAGAAGCAGTCCAGTGCTGATCCTACAGTACTGGACTTTGGACCACAAGGTCAGCAGTGCATATGCACCTGCCATTCCTAAGAACCCTTACGCAAGGTCGCTATGAGTCAAAACGGATGTGATGGCAACAATAGCCACCCCCTGTATGCAATGTGCTGCTCTGGAGGGATTTCAAGGCTGTGGCCTTTCAGAAGTAGATCATCAGGACTGTCACCCAAGGTCTGATTTTTAGACTTAAACAAAAACAGAAGAATTCTAACTTGTGGAACAGAAATTCCTTTATTAAATATTTTATACCTAACATGGAGTCCTGGTGTAGCTGTATAGGTCAAGCACTGTAGGATAATCAAGGTCAGTCTGAATCACACTAGTCGCTCCTTGGAAACCCTATATAGGGTAGCGATGAGGTGCAAATGACTCCAGGGCACTTAACAAAAACAAGTATCCGGATACGTAAGAAGAAAACTCACCTGCTCTTAACATTTTCCAGTACTAAATGGCTATTTACTTACTTTAAGCACTGGGATTTAAATGAAATAATAAGACTCAGAGAAACTGATAAAATCTGGGATAAACTGATAAAATCTAATAATTACTCTGGGACTTTGTGTTGCAGACCGTGTAAGACTAGTCAGAGGTTCGAGGCCCTCTAGGGCTGAGTGTAACAAATGAGGCCACTGGCAGTTAATGGAAAATTGCTTTCATCTTAATATTCAGGTATATATATTAAATTAATACACTGGAGCCTTTGAAAATCCACAGATAAATGTGATA